CTATAGCTATAGTGTTAGAGTAGTTAGTTAGTTTGGTAGTGTAGTGAGTTATTCTATCAACCCAGCAAGTTATTCGACGCAGCTTGCACTTTCTCAACGTACGTACATACATATTAAAAATTTATTAGGTGCAGGTATTGTTGAGGGTCAATTTTTACGAATTAGTACTACAGCAGCCGCAATATGGCAACAAATGATGAAAATCAGTAGTGTTATTACAATATTAAAACAAAACAGACATATTAAACGAACAGCAGGCCAGATTTTAGTAGCACAATTACGTGATTATCATGTTAGAAAAGCACCCTATAATGCATTATATACGGTCAATGTTGATAATCCTAAAACATGGTGGGAAACTTGTGAATCAAAATTTCCATATTTGCAATTATTAGCTATAAAATTGTTTTCTGTTTCACCACACGCAGCTAGCTGTGAACGTATCTGGTCAACTTGTGGCTGGATTTATGGACAACGGCGTGTAAATCTTTCAGTTGAAAATATAGATGCAATTGCTCAAGTTCGTTCAAATTATATTGCAAACAATAAGTTTGAATTACCACGTTATAGTGAGAACAAATCAGCTGAAGACATTAGAAAGATACTATATAATGCAGATCTCTATGAAGAGACTGACACGGTTAACTTTGAACAAGCTATATTAAATGCTAATATTAATCAATCTAGTGTTGATGACGATAACAATGTAATTTCTCAAATGCGTCTTTTTTACCAGAAACAAATAGACAAACTGAAGTAAATATAGATGTTGATTTAGAGCCAGGATCAAGCGACTGGTTAGAAGAATTTAATCAAGAAGATTATGATCCAGCTGAATTAGGAGAAATGTTTTTGAACAATTAGAATCAGAATAAATATTAATATTTTTGTGCGGTTCTTTTTTTTTTTTTTCCTGCACATATGTGTGCATTTTTTCTCTCATACGTTTATATATATATTTTTTTGTATATGGTTTATTTTTTTTCTTGTACGTACATGTTTGTATGTTTTTTTTTTTTGCTTGTTTTTCTTTTTTATATGCTCTTTCTTGTGCATATTTTATTTTCACTATACCTAATTAGGAATTTCAAATTATAATACGTACGTAAATCAGTTTTATAACCAATTTTAATTATGAAATTGAAATTTAATTTGTAGAATTTAAGTTGAAATAAATGAACATAAGGCATTCATACGCTATCACATATCTGCTAAAATGGGTAGTTCTAATCGAATATTTATTTAGTAACTGAAATTAAGTCAAAAAAAATGATTACTGTTACAAAGTATTTATTTATTATCAAAAACTTGTGAGATAGAAACGCTAATAAAACTATAAAATTGGGTATTGCTATGGAGTTGAAAAAAATGAGCATATGGAATTCGTTAATACATGTATACGTAGAAGATATTTATTAGATTCTGTATTACCCCGGGTATTATTCAATCAACCATCAAATTTCTTGAATAGTACCCGGGAGGGTACTGATTACAGGAGAGGGTACTATAATAGGAGGTAACTTTACGTAGTTTAATATTGGTTTAATAAAGATTCAGTATAAATATTATATATATCTAACTAGAATAATACCTGGGTCTTATTCAATCTTCTGGATCATGAACCCATGAATTGTACCCGGGTCTTCTTCACGGGGTATTATAGCAGGGGAGTACCGGTACCGGTACTAATCATATTAATACAAATTGAAAGGTAAATTATTCACATATCAGCTCACAAAAAAACAATTTTTTTTTTATAAAACGATAATTCTAATATTGTATACGTTAAACCAATCGTCCAACCTCCAAACCAATCATGGTATAAGTAAGAAGTCATTGCAATATTAAAATTACCATAAATCACTGTAAATACAAGACCCGGATCTCTTACATTTCATCATTTTAAAACCTATAATAGATCTCGGGTCAAGTATAGCAGGGGGGACATTCGTTTCCGATGATTTCCGGGATCTACGTTACACGCGTATTTATATAGGATGGTAGTATAAAATCAGAATTTTCGGGTATTAGAAAACTTAAAAAAAATTAAACAAACCATATAATACTTTACTAACCAAATAACTTCCTAGCGAACGTCTCGTTAAGAAAATCAATTTGAATCACGTTGAATCACGCAATAAAAGGTAGATTTAGTAAGAGTTGAAGTACTGTCTACTGTAAAGTAAGAAGTAATAAAAATATATTGTACTGCTTAATTCATAAAGTTCAACGTTGTTTTTTCGTTTTTTTTCTTGTTTATTATTATTTAAATAATTAACACTTTGATTTTATTATAACTTTACAGACCGCTTTCGAAAGTTACATATTCTCTAGAAGATATTTAATTCAATAGAAGTCGTTTTATATGTACGATAGTATAGTTTTATTAATTATGTAAAAGGTTTAAGAATATTAATAAAGAGCGTGTAACTTCTTATTAAAAACTTTTCTAATAAAGTTTCTATACTTGTAAATTGTTATTATAAGTTGGGTAAAGAGTTTTATTTTTCTAAAACGCGGCTTATTTTACTTCGAAGTTAAACTATAGAAGAAATAATAATATACGAATTACGCCTGTTGATTGGTTGCGTAGTTCAATGAGTATCTATCTGTTTATATCATGTGCTAATAATATAGTTTCTGATGCATGAAAAATCCCGTGCTTTTCCGAAAAATACGAAAGTCCCCCCTGCTGTCAAGTATACGGCTAAGAGTTTATATTTTTAAGAAAAAGCAATGCATATAATAAGAGTCTCTATATAGTATTTTAAAAAAACAACTTAATTAATATAGATCCTACGGTTATAATGACAATACAAGAACCTCATGTTGGTGATTAGACATTGCAACAATAGTAGTAGTGTCAAGGAAAGTTCCTACGACTCTTAGGCAAGATTTTTTGTTAGATCATTGCCTAGATATTTTCAGAGGTCTCTTTACCTACTTAGATTTACAAAATCACAAATTCTATCAACTACGCTTTTGCAGAATTTATTACAAAAGAACTTAGAATTTTAACGGAAGATTTAGAATTACATATATTCAAGTAGATTCAAAGTGAGTTATACAGGCAAATGAATACGTAATAAATTTACATTGGAACAAATTAACGTCTCAACTAATTTATCAAAAAACTTTTAAAGATCCTGATGATAATAAAGCTACTATAATTCGAGCAAATCAATTTCTTTAGAGCGTGATATTTTACTACATATCAGATCGGAGCAGATAAATAAGAGAATTGAAACTATTCCCTGTTCTAGCACTTTTTTTTAATCCTTAGCGGTAATTATACTGGTTTTATTGTAGATTCGAAAGTATAGGCACAAATGAGGACGAAAAAAAGGCATTTGAGTGTTATTTGAAATCTGCTGAGGAAGGCAATTCGAATGGACAACTTAATACTGGATTCTGCTATAATGAAGGCATAGGCACAAACAAGAATGAAAAAAGGCGTTTGGATGTTATTTGAAATCTGCTGAAAGCAATTCGAATGGGTACATTGTAAAGTAGTACGGTACAGAAACGCAAATTAGGACGCACGCGTAGAAATCGTGATAGTACGTACGGTTTGTAAAAGTTACTTTTCCTACTAACCCTAACATGAAAAAGGACAATACTAGCGCTCACCCTAATCCTAGCCATTGAAAAAGGTTACTTATAAAAATTTAAACCTGCAAGTTTATATTAACCGGACGTATAATCAAAATTTAGTATAATTTTCGTATGTCCGTCAGAATCTGTACTACCGTACAATACTACTTTACTAAATGCCTAATTCGAATGGCCAATTTAACTCTGGACTTTAGGCATAGGCACAAACAGGGATGGAAAAAGGCATTGGAGTATTATTTAAAATCTGCTGACAGTGGCAATTCGAATGGTCAACTTAATGTTGGACGCTGCTATAACGAGGGTATGGGCACAAACAAGGACGAAAAAAGGGCGTTTAAGTGTTATTTGAAATCTGTTGAAGAAGGCAATTCGAATGGTCAACTTAATGCTGGACTCTGCTATGGCGAAGGCATAGGTACAAACAAGAATGAAAAAAACATTGGAGTGTTATTTGAAATCTGCTGAATGTATAGGCACAGACAAGAAGCATTTGAACAATAGTTGAAGGCTGCAGAAGGCGATAATTTGAAGAAACAAATTAATGTTGGAGACCACCACAAAAGGCATATGTACAGCCAAGGAAGATAAAAAGGTATGTGAGTGGTATTTGAAATTTGCTGAAGGTAACAACTTAGGTAACTATTGGATTCTGTTACACAAAATGCATAGGTTCATCAATCGATAAAGAACGTCACTACAATTATTGAAAAACCACAGTAAATATGATATTTATGCGAAGCTGAGTCGATATTCTTGATTTTTCTTTTGTAATCAAAATTTAAACGATACTTAATAATCCACGTGGAGTTGATAGAAGCTGCTAAGTACTGGTTGAGGTTATTAAGATTTATCGTAACGATTGAACGTCACAAATTATTAGCAAGTATCGTGTTGAATAAATCTCGATAATGTTTGAGATGAGTTAAGGTTAGTATTAAAAGGTTAAGGTTAGGCTTATTAGGAATTTTTATATTGGATTACGCTGTGAATAATAAATATTTATCGCGTGATATTTAGGGTGGTAATGGCGATTTAAATTTATAAATTGCTATCTATTACTTAAGAGGTTATATCAATAAATTACAGTCAACACTCTCTATTCCGAACAGTCCGTTCTTACCTGTAAAAATATCAAAAAGTTCAGTTTTCAAAGAGTTACTATGTTGCTAATCCGAACTTTTTAGTAAAATTACTAATGTTCTGAAGCTTTATGTTCGGTTTTTACAGAGTTTATTAAGGGTTCGGATTATCCAGGTTCGGATTTGGGAGAGTTGACTGTATAAAGAAAAAATTTAGTTCTATTATTCATTGTTATAAATGTACATTTTCCCTAGTATTGTATTTGTCGAAATAAAAAATTGCCATTAAAAAGATCAGAAAATGCACGGACCCTTGGTACACACAAATGTAAAACCAATTGCAAATTCAAAACTTATGAATTGTAGTTGCCCAAACAAGACATAAAGATCATTTTCTTTCCAAGTACATTTTAAAAAATTAAATCAAGATTTAGGTAACCAAACGTTGAACCAGCCTAATTTAGGTTCGATTTTGGTTATTAAACCTAAAATTTGGAACAAGGTAAAGTGGAAGCCAGACATTCCTAAAATTCAGTAAGACTTGAAAGGCTTTCATTCTGCTTTTCTCAACTTTAGCCAATTAATTAAAGGCAATAATATATTCTATTAAAGTTGATTACTATAATTTAATTTAACGAACCTAATTTAGGTTATTGTGAATCTAAATTTTGGGTCAGCCAATTATTGCTAACATTATGCTTGATCCTGAAGCCATTGTAGTGGTTATTTTCTGAATAGCTTCATTATCTTTATCTATTTATCGGGGATTGCCACCTTCAGTAGGTTTCACTAAGAGGAAATTTTCATAGTAAAGCACTAATTTAGTTTCTTACTAGCACTATTAACGAGGTTTTAACGAGGTTTTTTGACAGAGTATAAAAATTGCCAATTTTCATATTCCGTCAAAAGACCTCATTTAAACCTCATTAATAGTGCTAGTAAGAAACTAAATTAGCGCTTTACTATGAAAATTTCCTCCTAGAGACCCATATTGTTAATAATTTACACAAATTTGATATTTTGTTGCTATCGCAAAAATGTAAGATTTCCGCAATGGTGGTTTAAAGTTTTAGCATTTATTTGACTGATTTGGGATTTTTGCATCAGTTTAAAATTATAGTGGTTTAGGATTTTAACATTAATTTGGGATTTCAACACCAATTTGAGATT